AACACTTAAGAATAAATTTAACGAGAAATTTAAAACCTATAGTCAGTGTTATAGATTGAATTGTGACCTTCCTCACCCCCCCCCCCCATTTATATATTGAAGCCCCAATCATAAGTACCTCAGAGAGTGACTGTATTTGGAGATAGGGCCTTTAAAAAGTTAAAATTAGGCCATTGGAGTGAGCTCTAATCCAAGACGACTGGTGTTCTTATTAGAAGAGCAGATTAGGACATACAGAGAGACACTAGGGGAAAAAGCTATATGAGGACACAGCAAGAAAGTGCTCATCTGCAAGCCAAGAGGAGAGGCCTCAGGAGAAACCTTGTCCTTGGAACTCCAGCCTCCAGAACTTTGAGTAAATAAATTTCTGTTGTTTAAGCACTCGGTCTGTGGTATTTTGTTACAGCAGCCCTCACAAACTCATACAGACCAGAACTATAGAACACTCCTGAAATACACAGAAGTAGTCTTGAGCAGACCTTCCTAGTTCTTGACTAGGACACTTCAACACAATCAAGACATTCATTCTTAGTAAGCTAATGTGTAAATATAATATGTTCCCAATTAAAGTACCAATAATACCTTTTTTTCTGAAAGTAGACAAAGTGATAAGTAAAGTTCATATGGAAAAGTAAGCATGCAGCATTGAAAAGGAAGAACTGTGAGAGGGGACTAGCCCTGTCTATATTAAAACATACTATAAAGCCTCTATAATTAAAACAGAGCGGTACTGGGGCACAGACTAGAATAGAATGGAATGGAATGCCTAAAAATAGACCCTAACATGTATGGAACTTTATGAGAAAAGTGGTATCTCCAGTCACTGGGACAAAGATGGGCTTTTTAATAGTGTTGGGGCAACTGGCTAGCCATTTGGAAAAAGATGAAATTAGATCTGTTCCTCCTACTATAAATAAAACTGCACTCCAAATGGATCAGAGCTCTAAGTAAAATAAGAAACTTTATATGCACTCCAAGAATACATGGGTGAATTCCTCCTTACGATCTGGGTGTAGGAGTGAGCTTTCTATGAATCAAAATCCACATACAGTAAAAGAAATTATTGATAAATTTGCAGCCAAAAATAAACTTGCACAGAAGCAAAATCAAGACAGGTTGTGATAAAGTATTTGTGACATATAAATATATCATGGGTTGATATCTCTAATATATATTTTTAAATGAAAAATTACCCCAAAATGGGCAAAGGACACAAGCAGACAATTCACACACACACACACACACACACACACACACACACGATATTAAAATGTCCTCTGAAATATCAACTTTCACCATATTAAGAGAAATGTAAATTAAAATTGCACCAAAATACCATTTGTCACCCATCAGAGTGTCCAAAAAAAAAATTAAAAGCTTGACAACATAGTCTGACCTGGAAGCTGTGGGGAAAAAGTCATCCTCATATGTTGCTGGTGGCAATGCAAAATGCTGCCACCCTAATAAGGGGTACTCGACAATAGCAAAATAATGCCTGCATTTACCCTTTCACCCAGGATTCCATGTCTAGAAATTTATCCTGGAGATACACCTTGCACAGTACAATATATATGTGCTGGCTTATTCACTGCAGTATTATATCTGATGATAAAATATTGTAAACTATGTAAATGCCCAGCCATGGGAGATTGGTTGAATAAACGATGGTGTTATTAGCTGTAAAGACAAATGAGGAAGATCTTTATAAATTAAAGTGAAGTTAATTCTAGGATATAGTGAAAAAAGCATAGTAGGCTGACTTTCATTTTTAGGAATAAAAATGAAGTATGAGAGCATATATTTATCCTGGCTGGTGTCGCTCAGTGGTTGGAGTGTTGGCCCTCACACCAAAAGGTCTTGAGTTTGATTACCGGTCAAGGGCTCACACCCAGGTTGCAGGTTTGATCCATGGCCCCAGTGGGGGGCACATGCGAGAGGAAGCCAATTGATGTGTTTCACATTGATGTTTCTCTCTCTCTCTCCTCTCTCTCTCTCTCTCTCTTTCCCCCCCCCTCCCCTTCAATGGGGGAAAAATGGCCTCGGGTGAGGATTAGCAACAAAAAAAGAAAATTAAAAGAAAGAAAGCATATATTTATGTATTTTATTTTTTTTAAAGGAAGGATAAATCAGAAAAAAATGAAACTGATTATCCTCTGAGGAGGTTAGGTGGAGGGACTGAGGAAATAATTGTAATATATATGTATAATAAGATGCTATACACACCATGGGTGGGTTTTACAGACATAATGCTGAACCAAAGAAGCTAGATACATGAGTCTGTATGATTTCATTTATATGAAGATTTGTGCATTTTAGTATAGATGTGTGATACATCAATACATTTTTTAAGTTTATTAAAAGATACCTGTACCTATGTCAGCAGTGGCAAAATCATCTCAATAGTCAGAGGTGAGGAAAAACGTTATTTTTCTTGTCAAGTTCATCGGATGCTAATCTATTGTGGCTGGTAGCTCACTTTTCCCAGTGATTAGCAAAAGCTGGTCAGGCTCACCTGTAATGTCCACTAAGGATAGCACTGTGCCTGAGAGCCAGACCACTGCACACCACACAGCAGAGTTACCGGAACACTGTGCAGAGTGTCAGCTTGGGGTGCAGGGGTGTGTGTGTGTGTGTGTGTGTGTGTGTGTGTGTGTGTTGGGGGTCAGGGGTCCTCTGAAGGGTTAAAATGGAGAATTGATTCAAATTGCTGTCTGGTGCTACCTTTGTAGGGAGGGGTACAGAGGCCAATATTTGCCCCCTTTTAAAGGTACCAATCAGAAATGAGGCAATAGCTAGATGACCAAACAAGGCAGGTTGTAAAGTGGTAACTTACCATAAGCTGCAGCAGCTAAAAGAAAAAGAGAATGTTTGATTGCATAAACAATTTAAAGGCAGTGGACTATTTCATAGCATGAGTTTGTTTTGGAATATAGATTTCTTTTGGTGTAGGGTGAGCCTTTAAGACTGTCGGAAATTTTTTGTTCAACAAAACAAAGTAGATTACACTTCAGGTGGCTATTGAAAGGTAAAAGGAGGACTTACTCTTTTAATGACTTGGTTTGGGCAGATTCCATCACTGTGCTTAAAAGAAAATACATTTATTTATTATATTAACAGGGTTTGTTTCTAAGGGGTCAAATAGTAGGGACATCACATTGCTACAGGATTATGTAAAATTTAAGATACAGCGTATGAGAAACTTTTAACATTTTTCAGCTCATGAATAAGTGATGATCCAAGTGTTAAGAGCACTTTTTTTCCCCCTGTAGAAATGTTAGAAATTATGGATAAATTCCCTGGATAGCCCTCAAAAATCTACTTAATTCCTAAAGCCTCTAAGTATTGTTTCATTGGGAAAATAAATTCTGAATCCTAACTCCCAGCAACAATAACAGATTTTAAATGTCTTCCTCTCTCCTCCCATACAGTTTACCAAATGGGTTGTTTTTGTCTTTCTAGCCAAGGCCACGGAACAGCAGGGATTCCAAGGGCCTTTGTTACTGGGGAGAGCCATCTGGTGACCCTGGCAGGAAGCTAGGCTCTAACCCTGGTGAGGGCTCTGTTTGCCAGCCCTTCCCCTGGACTCTCGTTGTACTTGTAGGGGCTCTGCTGCTGGAGATTTCCGACCATGCTAATTATTAACTCCTTAGGCTCCTCACACACAGAGCTTTGAGGCATGGCTTGTTTTCTTTCCTTCTCTACTGGTATAAACGGTTTTGGCCTTAAGTATTCACCTAGCAAAATGTGGAGTGTATAAAATGTCTTTTTTTTTTTTTAACCTACCAGGTAGTAAATAGGATGACTGATGAGTGGGTAAATACATTAAGATCCTTAGAGAAAGATGTTCCCAAGGTACAGTTATGTACTGCAGAACACTTTTGGTCAACAACAGACCACACATATCCTATATAATCCTATATAATAAAAGGCTAATATGCATATCAACCAAATGGTGGAACAACCAGTCGCTATGATGCGCACTGACTACCAGGGGGCAGACCCTCAACACAGGAGCTGCCCCCTACTGGTCAGTGTGCTCCCATGGGGGGAGCGCTGCTCAGCTGGGAGCCTCTCCCGTCTCCGTCTCTATAGCAGTGCTAAGGATGTCCGACATCCCCCAAGGGCTCCCGGACTGCGAGAGGGCGCAGGCCGGGCTGAGGGACCACTCCCCCCGCCCCAGTGCATGAATTTCGTGCACCGGGCCTTTAGTGTAAGATTATAATGGAGATGAAAACTTCCTGTCACCTAGTAACATCATAGTGGTTGTGATGCGGTAGCAAAACGCATTCCTCACATGTTTGTAATGACGCTGGTGTAAACAAACCTACTAGGCTGCCAGTCATATTAATGCGCATGCCATTACAGTGTTCCCTGTTATTAAGTGGCATGTGACTATATGACTAGGAGGACACAACTTAAAGTCTGTCCCACAAAATATCCTATTTTGTCCAATTAACTGTCTTCATTGGCATTTGGATTTATACTGTTCACTGTATTTACCCTCTCACCTTTATTCACTTCCTTTTGGTTTAAAGTGAGTTGGGTCCATTTAAAACATGGATGGTGAATAATTCATATCATTAATAGGTATTATTAACTCTTAAATGTCAAATCTTATCAGCCAGGGATATAAAGTGGACTCGTCAATGATGACATATGTATGCTCTTAATTGTACTTTGGTTTTTAGTAAATGAAACAATTGAGAATAGGGGAGCCGTAACTTGTTAACTTACATGGATGTATTTTGCAGACTTTCCCCAACAGTCTGTCACTGCCGCTCATCTTCACCATAAGTCTCCAGTGATTCTAAAGGGACGGTATTTTTTTTTAGCGCATTTGTTCCTGAGTGAAAAATGGCTTTTCATTTGGATGGCGCTTTCGAGTGGGCAGCAGGGCAGGGTTCAGATAATTTGTTACGTACAGGTTATGCTGCGACTTTATCGCGATGTTGTTATAGATTTCCATCATTCTCATTTTTGTCTTTTTCTTTTTTTTCCAGTTCTTCCTCCAGTGCTGGTCCCGAGACACAGTGAATATAACCCTCAGCACAGCCTCTTAGCTCAGTTCCGCAACTTAGGACAAAATGAGCCTCACATGCCACTCAACGCCACTTTTCCGGATTCTTTCCAGCAACCCAACAGCCACCCGTTCCCTCACTCCCCCAACAGCAGCTACCCCAACTCTCCCGGAAGCAGCAGTAGCACCTACCCTCATTCTCCCACCAGCTCTGACCCAGGAAGCCCTTTTCAGATGCCAGGTAGGTTGCACTGTTGGGGGCTGTTCTGTGGGCAGTTCCCATAGTGTTATCTATCACAGTGTGGGGAGAAGCTGGGGTGCCTGGAGGGAGAGGGTGTCCGCTCTGGTACATGGCCCTGTGCTCCAGGGCTCAGGACCCGACTGGTTGAAAGAAGACCTCATAGCTAAGTAATCGGCACATGTCTTATTTTATTTGTCAGGCACAGATGCTCAAATAAGTTTTATGTTTTTATTCTGAAGGTCTTCGAAACAGCTGCATCTTTCTGGGCGTGGCATCATTGTTAACAGCCTTTGCTCTTGATAAAAGAAAGAGAAAAATAGTGTGTTGCACACATTTGCTTTAGGAGAAACACAGGCTCCATCAGCATCATTTCATACGTGGAATAAAAACCCCTGCTGCAAGTGCAACCTCAGAAAAGATATTTCCTGAGGGATCACAGTCCCCTTCTTAATTAAATTCATTTAAGGGGTGATGTAATCCCAAGAAACATATACTTTAACAACAAAGGAATTGCAACAGATGTACTGGAAACCATCTGCTTGTTTAACTTAGCAAAGACAGAAAACAATTATCCTCCTTTTTCAGACTTAACTGATGGTGTAATATTTATCAGAATAAATGATTAATTAGGACATTTTGTTTGTCAAGTTAATAGGTTAATAAGCCAGCACCTCAGAGAACAAAAATGATTAGTAACAAATTTCTTGCCAGTAGGCCTCAAGAAACATAGTCGAAATAAAGATATACTTGGCATCTGCATACTTAACCTCTATGAACGAGTGGGCAAGCATGTTCACTGGGCCACTGAAATGTTTTTTGTTTTTTTTAAGTAAATTTGAATTCGACATCAGTGCGGGTATGTCCTCAAAAATTGAAAAGTGGTCCACACTTGATATTGCTGTCTGTGGTTTATGTATCTATTGCTTCCTTTTATTTTAAGCCTGGTTACTTTGCATTGTTTTGCTTGGCTTTCAATCCAAAACGGTTTCAGATGAGGGTGGGAGATTGACTAGTTTAAAAAATCAAGCTAATAGCATCTGGTGACTTCTGTCCACTCCCTTTCAGACCCTTTGTGTGTGATGAACAGGATAATAGGGAGGAGATAGCTTCAGAAGGCTTTTGAGCAGTGGCAAACCAGGGTAGGCCCAAGGGTGAAAAACTTGAAGGTTATTGCTTGGATGTACACTTCTTCCCCGGCTGCCGAGGGACGGAGGCTCAGGCCCAGCAGGGGAAATGTGAAGAGGAGGTGGGAGGAGGCACTTGTGGGGACGGTGGGCACCGCCGGTGGCGTCTGGTCCCTCTCAGTGGTGCTGATGCCGTGGGTTGCCCATGAAGTGTCACCTGTGTATTTGGAGAAATGTGTTGTCTTTGGTCTCGAGGGAGGCTCTTTGTCTTCCTTCCTGACTGGAAGTGAAGCCAAGTCAGTGTTCCAGGTGCAGGGAAGAAGCCGAATTAAAAGAAGCTGGAGAAGGGTGAAAAAGGCAGCCGGATAAGGTCCCCACAGCCCTGTCTTTGTGCTCCGAGCCCTTGCTCGTTAACAGCTGGACCGTGGGAAGTCACTGGGTGCTGTAATTCAGTCTTGGAACAGTCAGTCTTGGAACTCGCTGTGGAATTCTAGTGGAGCCCAGTTAGTATTTGCATTTGAGGGTTGCCCGAGTGGTCTAGGGGACTTACCTAAGTTAGCGTGGGTCCCTAGGGCGAGACTTCATTCCCTGCTCTGCCCCGTGTGCCCCATGGGCTCACGCTAGCCAGGGAGTAACTTGTTATGGGGAAAACCATGCTCTTCGTTTAAGAATACAGAATACCTGTGTTACGGTCTTTGTTTCCGAAATCAATATTGTTTGCTGCCTCTTATTACTTTCCAGAGGAAACATATATGTAAATTCTGAAATAAAAGATAGCTGTGATAAACGGATTTGTTTCTTTGTTTCCTCTTCCGCTATTAGGGGTTTTAAAATTAGTGATTATTTAAGAGGGTGGGAGAAGGTGGTCCTGACAGGTCGCCTAAAGTCTTGAAAAATTAAGTTCAGTCAGAGAGTTGAGTAATGAAACTCAGTGGTGATTCCTAAGGGCCCACAGGTTGCATGCAGGAGACCCCGGAGCCCCTTTCGTTGAGAAGTCCTCTAGAGCCTTCAGAGGTCTTCCATCTACCAGTGCGAGGGAAATGCAGAGGCCCGCTCAGCGTGGGTGGTACCCAAGCTGGTTTAAATGCTCATCCAATTGTGTTCCAATGGCACCATCCCAGACTGGCAGACCACTTCCGGGACTGGCACTCAGTGCTTTTCCTCCCCCTGAGTTTTAACTAAAATTGTGTAAGATCACGAGATGGTAGTAATCCTCAGAAAGTGCACAGCAGTCCAGGGTCCGGAGCCTCCAATCTTCGGAAAGGGAGGTGGGAACAGCAACTTAATCTCTTACAAATTTCAGGACAGAAGAGGATATATGTTTTAAGTGTGTGTGTTTATTGAGGATTTAAAAATTATGTTTTTTTGGTTTCTTTTCTTTTTTTTTACTTTATAGCTGATACGCCCCCACCTGCTTACCTGCCCCCTGAAGACCCCATGACCCAGGATGGCTCTCAGCCAATGGACACAAACATGATGGCTCCTTCACTGCCCCCTGAAATCAACAGAGGAGGTAAATGAATTGCCGCTGATTCCCTTTTGAGAGTCTCAGGTTTATCTGCCCAAATGTGGCTTTCTCTCACAAAATTGCATTAGTCTTTAAAAAGATAGCTATTTGAGGAAGACAGAGCACAATAAGAGGCTCTGCAGAAACAATTCCTTGGGTTACAGGTAAGTCTTTTCTGTGAAGAACAAACACACTGACTTAACTAATGAAGGCCTACGTGTAATTGAGCAGTCATGTTTAGAGCTTCCATACTTAGTAATTCTGAATTGGTGAAAAAAGAGTATTTTTAAGTAAAGGACAAAGGGGCATTGAGAAATGATGATCATAACAATATTGAAGTGGAGTTTCCACGGGTGATTTCCAAAACTAGAAGTTCATGTCGCAAGGCTTTGGAGAAGGTTCTTTTGTAGCTGGGATAGATAGTGATCAACCCCATCTATTTCCCAGCACCCCCCCCCCCCCCCCCCCCCATGCACAGGGCAGCTGGCACAAACCAGTACGTTCGCTTCTTTCTTGCTTTCTGTGTTTGTTTCTAACCTCGCTGCTAAAAGGAGTTGAGGCGCATGTCTTTCCTGTCTTCACCCGGAAGAGCTCTAAGCAGAACGAAGGTTCTTTGTCTCTCAAGTAGAGGGCGGGTCTGTTTGCAGCTCTGCATACTCCTTGGCCATGACATAGGGGAGGACGCCATCCTTCCTCCAGGGCTGCAGTGCCAAGTCGAGTGGCTTAAGGGAGCAGGGAGCCCAGGTAAATGAGTGCTGGGAAAGCCTCTGAGCATCGGTAAGAAGTCATGGCACGCTGTTGAGTAAAGCTGCTCCCACACCTTCTCATGGAGGACAGTGCTGCACAGGAGCACTCGGCACATGGCCTGGGTCATCGAATTTGTGCAAACCTTACACACATTGGAGTTGAAACGCAATTCGATGACTAGATATGTGTTAGGTCATTCTCATCAACTTTATAATTAAAATTGAGGACACCTCACACTTTGCCAGACTTGCTTGTATTTTTGAAGTTCTTAAAATTTGATGATAAACTCAACCTTTCTTAGATGTGCAGTGTGATAAACTGGAATGTACACCTTTTTTGTTGGCTCTGATGCTCTCTAGAACAGCCTCTCAAACATATGATTATGAGCCAACAAAGGTTCTGGTTGGAGAAAAGAACTCCTGTCTCACACATCTTTGGGATTTTTATTTGGGGATCAGGATTGCAGGAACGGATGGCATATACAGTTATGAGCATGCTGACCTGTAAATATTATTGTTAAGTCTAAAATGTCTGATTTCAGGAAATTGACCTTTAAATTGTTTTAAAATATTTTCCTTTAAATAGCTTTAAACATTTTCTCCATTAGAATAAGTTTATAGTTAATTTTTTCATGAGGAAGGAACGTTGGCCTTTTTTGTTGCTGTTGTTTAATTTGGAGTGGTTTTCCTAGAGCAGGGGTCAGTACACTACAGTCTACAGGTTAATTCAGACTCTTCCTGTTTTTATAAATAAAGTTTTATTAGGACACACTGTGTTCATTCATTTCATATTATCTGTTGCTGCTGTTGCACTACTAGGGTACTGTTGAGTAGTTGCCATAGAGACCACATGGCTTACAAAACTTTTCTGGCCTTTTATAGAAAAAAAAATCGTCAACCTCCAACCTAGATGAATGTATTTTGAACAACACTGATAGTTGATAAAGCCTCCTGTTAATGATGTTGCAGCCCTGTTTAAGATTTGACACTTGTAAATCACTAGACTTTTGCTCTTTGAAATATAGCAAATTGACAAGGGATAATTGCTTAGCAAACATGTTTTCAGCTCACCCGCTTCAGTGTATAAAGCAGTTAATGTTTGTGTGGTTTTCTTTTCTTTTTTACTAAATTTATTGGGGTGACATTGGTTAATAAAATTATATAGATTTCAAGTGTACTGTTGTCTGTGTCTATGAGTTTTTGTTTTTCTTGTTTGTTCATTTGTTGCTTTCAGTTTTATATCGCACAGGAGTGAAGTCATATGGTTCTTAACTTTTTTGTCTGATTTATTTTGCTTTAGCATGATATTCTCAAGATCCATCCATGTTGTCGCAAATGGCAGTATTTCCTCTTTTCTGTGGCTGAGTGGTTTCTTAATGATCATTTTCCTTGTTTTCTGTACTGAATTCTAAAGTAAAGTGCATTTTCATATTATGGAGGTTGATGTTAAGAACACAGAAGTACTCGCCTCCAATTCGGATTTTCTTTCCTTTTTTTTAATGATTATATATTCAAGACCATAAACCTCAGATCATTACGTACTGGCATGCTGGCTATATATGGTGTGTATTCCTGGAATCTCTAATGCAGTGGTATAAGAGGTTTTACTACAGAAGGAACTTATCTTTAGAACCTTCTAGTTGCAAATATTTAGAAGCATGTTCTGTTTGGAGATTTGTTAGTCTTAAGAGATTTGACTTAACAAGCTGCATCCTGTCAGTAAAGTTGGGTAATTTCCATTGTTGGCCCATTCTGGGAATGGAGAGACAAAACACACCTGCTCTGCATGACTTAAAGCAAATATAAGGAAGTTAGCATGAAATCTGGATGAGAGAGATATGATTCATTCCGTGCGAGTTGGCCAGCTGGCACGATTTCTTCCTGAGTTTGAGGACTGGAGCAGAGCTGTGGCTGTGATGGTTATTGGCAACTTAACGTGAAGTAAAGGAACTTCTTATCAATAATTAGAAACTGATTTTCATTGCTCTGGAAAAGCATCGGCATGCTAAGGCTCGGTTGAAAGTAATTCCTTTCCGTGCCAGCACCTTTGGCATATTTCCCGTCCTCCATTGTTCTCTTCCCCTTGTTTTTTTTCAGCTCACTTACCACTTGTTGCCTTTCTTTAGATGGTGAGCCAGGGTCTGTAATGGGGGTAATTTCCATTTTGGCATATTACAGAGCATATTGTGAGTGTTCCGCACACGCTGTGGGTATGCTTGCCTAGCTGGCATTTTGGTTATCCAACAGTAATTAGAGAAAATTATTTTCCAATGAAAGGACAATGTTGCACTTACTCAGGAATACTAAGACATCATAGATACACTCCATACCCTAAAATAGCAGTTGCTTCTCCATATCTTCATTCCATGGTCCTGAGCCAATGTTACAACACAGTTTCAGTTTTTGAGAGCCCCGGGCACCCACCGTGATTCACTATGAGCTTTTCTCTCTTACAGATGTTCAGGCAGTTGCTTATGAGGAGCCAAAACACTGGTGCTCTATTGTCTATTATGAGCTCAATAACCGCGTGGGAGAAGCGTTCCATGCCTCCTCCACCAGCGTGTTGGTGGACGGTTTCACCGACCCTTCCAACAATAAGAACCGTTTCTGCCTTGGGCTGCTCTCCAACGTTAATCGGAATTCCACTATTGAAAACACGAGGCGGCACATTGGAAAAGGTGAGTTTCCACTTTAACCTCTTTTGTCTGTTGTGTTCCTGTCCCCCCAGAGCCTCTTAGTCTTTCCTGTAGCAGAACTAGTGTAGCAACACCAGATAATGTGTACTCGCTTCAGTTTGTAAATATTTTCCCAATGCGCATTACCAGGAAGTCCACCTTCCAGTCAGCGATTTCTGTGGCCGACCCACGCGTGATAATTAGTCGTCATTAGCAGAAACAGTGATTTGCTGTTCGGGAGCCCTGGTCTATCTTGTGTTTTGCTGCAGAATAGGATCGCTGTTAAAAAATTACTTACCGCCTGAAACGAAAAGCAGATTAAAATAAGTAAACCTAATGTGTGTCAGACGAATACCAAAACTCACTGAGGAAATAAAAAGAATGAAATAATCCCAAACAATTTAGGAGTAGATAGTACCTTGCTATATATCCTCAGTCTGGGCCAGGTAGGGTAGCGTGATTGTAAGCAAACCCTGAACTGTTTGTAGTAGACTTGATTATTTAGTAGCAATATGAATGAAACAGTTCTGAAACTTTCAGATTCGATTATAAGATTGATACTGAATGTGTGATGTTGGGAGCCTGGGTTTTCACTGGGAAATAAGAGACGTACAGGTGTGGAGGACGGCAAAGAAACGAACCCTGTGGAAGTATCAGTGTGAAATCATGATTTTAGTTATGTGTGTATGTGTGTGTTCATACATGTTTACGATCTCATGTATATGTGTGTGTGTGTGTGTATGTGTGCATATATAGATGCATCTGTACATGCAGATAGTTTCTGACCTGTCTGCTTAAAGGGCCAACAGGCTAAGATACCCAGGAGCAATAAACACATCTGGTGAGACACCTCCACTCAGAGGAACCACAGGGCTCCTTGGAGAAAGGGCTGACTCCAAGGCTGGGACAGACAGGCACCTAGTGAGCCTGGAACATTCTGTTGTGTCAGAAAGTAAAGAAATGCTTAAGAAAATGATGGGCGCATGTCACGGGAGCCAAATCTAGGATAATTTGAGCACCAAAATAACTAAGTAATGAGTTTCAAACCACTGAAAAGCAATAGCAATCCAGAAATCCATGCCAGTAATGAATCGATAAATGAATGGGAAGGCTGACTGGTAAATGTAGACTGAGTGCTAGAGTTGGACAGTCATCATGTGGTAGCCATCAGGCAACACTCATCCATGGATCCTAAAAATAGAGAGAATTTTTAAATGAGAATCAGGATCTGTGCATGGTCTTAAAGTGTTTCCTCACAGACAGCCCATTCGTTTCAAGGGAGAATAAAGATCAGTGATTACGCAGTGGAGGAATTGGACAACATCTTGACTGGGAGATCAGAATGATCATCACCAGTGAGAGACAGATGGGTATCATATACCTCCAGATGTGGTACCCTGAGAAGGAAACATCACCTATGCCGAGTTCCAGCTGAGAATGCAAATCTGCACCTAATAATCAGGAAATGTCAGACAAATCCCAAATAAGGAGCATCCTGTTCAAAAGGGTGAGGAGGGACTGTATTCTCCCAAAATATCGATGTCAAAAGACAAAGGTGTGAGAATGTTCCAAATTAAAGGAGGCTAAAGGGATACGATAGCTCAGTGTTATAATCTGACCCTGGATGTGATCCTGTACCATCCAGGGAAAACATATTATAAAGGACATTTTTGGGATCAACAGGCAAAATTGGAATAAGAGTGGTAGATTAAAGTATTATATCAATGTTAAATGTGCTGGCATTGCTAATGTATGGTGCCTGTGTAGGAGAACATCCCTAGGCTTGGGAAATGCACACTGAAGTATTTAGGAGTAAAGGGCCATGATGAAATAAATGGCTCAGGACGAAATTTTATTTACACACACACACACACACACACACACACAGTGCGGCAAAAGTAGGTTTACCATGGTAATACAATTAAATACAACCATAATCTACACTAATAAAAGAGAATCATACAAATTGGTGTCACTCTGCTATGCCCACCAGCCAATCAGAGTGACTATGCAAATTAACCCAACAAAGATGGCGCTTAATTTGCATATGCAGGCTTGAAGACCAAAGACTGAAGAGGCTTGGCTTCTCTGCTGCGGCCAGACCAAAGGCCTGGGTCCCAGGTGCCGGAGTAAAACCGGTGCCGGCAGCCAGGGAAAGGAAGGCCTATTGCGCGAATCTTCGTGCAAGGGGCTTCTAGTTAAAAAATAATAATACAAGAATAAACTCGGGTACTCACAACTGTAAACCTACCTTTGCCTTACTCTGTGTATAAATATTGATCTAAAATAGTCCTGTGCTAGAATATATATATGTATATGTATGTATGTATGTATGCATGTATGTATGAGTAGGTGTGTATAGAAGAATAGAATAGAGGGATGTACAGATGATAAAGCATGTGGAGTAAATTGTCACAATAGATAAATCTGGATGATGGCTATATGGCTTTGATCTGTTTTCCTATTTCCGTGTGTTTGAAATTATTTCCAGAGTAAAGGTTTTTTTTAAATGACGTATGAAATTTAGAACAGTGGATCAAATTAAAAGGTTATTTAATTGATGCTTAAAAGACATTTGAAATAAAGTTTAACATTCAATCCTAAAAAAAAAAAAAAAAGCAACAACTCTCAAAGCAGGAATCGATAGATAGTTCCTTAACCTGATTAAGCGGGGAGGAACCCTAAGCTACACATGTAATGATGAAATGCTAGAACTTAGCATACAAATACCTTTCTATGGCTGTAAACCCCTGAGATTGCAGATAAACACAATTTTGCACACATTTGGGACAGAGGGACATAGTTTTCATTACATTCTAAAGTTGGCCATTGCCCCAAAGTAGTAAAAAGCCATTGTACTCGAGGACATTCCTATTAAAAATTAGGAAGAAGATGAGAATTCTGGGAATGCTGTTATTTAAAATTGTTCCAGATGCCTTGACTATTGTGGAATTACAGATAATGGCAGTAAGCCAAAATGATCATTATTTGAGGATGATATGATTAATTAATTGGTTGCTGATATTCTTAGGATAGATTTTGGGGGGGATAAATTCTTGAAGTGAAATTAGTAGGTCATAAACTCGATATACTTTGCTAATTTACTTTCCAGGAAGCTTTTATTAATCCACTTGAACCATAAGTTTCTGAGTGCCTTTCCTTCTTCGCCCATATGTCAGTATTACTTATGGTCATTGTGTCGATTCAAATGATATGATTGTTTATCTAAAAACTTTCAATAAATCTGTTTTTAGAAATTATATGTCAGTTTCCTTTAATCTGGCAGTAATCAGTTAGAAAATACGCTAGAGGGGGAAATGACATTCCCAATAACAACAGAAAACACACATTTTTTGGAATAATCTGAACCAGCAATATATAAGATTTATGTTAAGAAAATCAAATGTTATTGCAAGAGAAAGAAAATTTGAATAAATAAATAGGCATTCTGTGGTCCTTAAAGAAAAGGCCTAATATTGTGAAAATATTTTGAGGATATTCATTCTTCCTATACTTTAAGACAATCCATGTCAGAATCACAATGTAATGTTTTTTGAAAGTTGGAAAATGCTTTCTGAATATTATAAACAAGTGAAAATAGCTATTTTTTTTTAGTGGGAGAGTAAAGAAAATATACTTGATGTTAGGGTTAATAAAACATTATGAAACTACAATTAAATCAGTGTGTAGACAAAACAGTGGAATAAATTAAACTCAGACTACACAGTATTTTAAAATTTAATGTATGATAAGATCAGTAGAGTATTCTTCTAATGGGCCTGCAGTAACAATGCTAGCTTTGGGGTGAGGCTGGAGGGAGAAACCCTGACCTCATTCCATATATGCAAATAGATTAATGCGCTGAACTTTTTTTTTTAAAAAGGCAGACTATTAAAAAGTTAGGAGAAAATGTATTTGATCAGAGAGAGAGAAATTTTCTAAGCATTTAAAGCAACAGAAAAGACCACAAGAGGTTTGACTACTTAAAGACTTCAAACTTCTGTAGGTTAAAAAAAAATACATAGACAAAATTAAAAGGCAAAGGACTAATGGGGAAACAATTAAATTATATGTGCAGTTCATAATAAATAAAAACCCTAGAGCCCAGGCAGGATAAATAGATGAGAAATATGAACAGTAAATTCATAAGAGAAACACAAGTGGCTAATAACATATGAAATCATCATATCAGCCTCACGTATAAATTAAAACAGTATTGCTTTTCAGCTCTTAATTAGGGAAGTGTTGTTTTGTTTTAAACTCAGACTCAGTACTGGCACGGGTGAGACGAGAAAGGTACCGTACACTGCTGGTGAGCAGGGTGTAAATTGATGGAAGCATCCTGGAAACTCATTTGGCAGAGTGAATCAAAAGTGTTTAATCCAGTGATTTAACTTCTAGGATTCTCTCCTAAGGGTATTATAAAAAAATGATCCAGAGACATTTATCATAGCATTCTTATAATAGCAGAAAATTAGTGTGAACACAATGGTCCAGTAATGGGAGAATCGTTAAATAAATGTTGTATCCCTACAGTCATGTAGATATTTCAGATGTTTGCAAAGAAAGTTTAATGATCCTTAAAACCTCATACAGTGTGTCACACTGTTAACAATTCTTGCCACTGGGTCACTAAAAAAAGGAAACTATTGTCTGCTTTATATTTTGTCTCACTTTCTAAATTTTCTAAAATGAACATTTGTCACTTTTATAATCAAGGAAAAAAGTAAAAACAAAAAAAACACAGAACACACACTTAAATTTTCACTGTATCAGACAGAAAAATGGGCTTTTGCTCCAGCCACTATTGAATTGTTACAGAAGTCTTAGCTGTTGTGTGCACACGTACACACAACACATAATATTTCCTGTGAGACGGTGGTTTTAGCATTGACTAAACCACGCCAGAGTTACCTGCAAGGTAGCGAGATCACTTAAAGCCACATGGGATGGGACTCTGTTCTCTGGGTGGCCTGTAATAATCTTCCTAACTGGTGTGGGGCTTCGTCAGAATGGTTTTTTTCCCCCCTTTCCTTTTTTTAAAAGGCTGGGTAAGATCAATTTCCTACACTCCTGGCACTCTGGATCTCACAGGAAAAGGTTCGGAGCAGATGGTAGTTCAGTGAGATCAGATTCCACACAGTTTGGATTATTTTTCTAGTGTGTGTTTTTTTTTCCGGGACCTTACATCTGACAGCTCTCAGCCATACTTCCTCCACCTGTGGTTTCCTAGTTCTTTTACGTCTCCATCCTCCCTTCTCCTACCCTAAACATTTTCAAACAGTTCAGCTGCAAAATAAATGCTAACAAGCTGGTGTGGTGAATCTGTGCAGGATCCCTTAATAAAGTCCAGCTTTATTGTGCTGTATTTTTAAAGCAGGAATTGCTTTCAATTTGTGGCCAAACAGGGCATTAAACACTTATCAGAATGAAATTGCTGCACTCTGTTACAGAGTTTTAAGAGACTTTGTTATATTTTTTTCTTAGAAACCTAGACATGCATGTTGACATATAGGCACTATATTGACTAATACTGTTAACTAAGATTCTATCAATTGTGCAAGACTTGGAGAATATCTATTTATCTAATTAGCCAAAGTTCAGATCCATCTATATTCATATGTTGCATAAACTCACATGCTTTGCAGCTGTAATAACTGAGTCCGTGCTTTGTCTTCCCACAGGAGTCCACCTTTACTATGTTGGAGGGGAGGTATATGCCGAATGCCTCAGCGACAGTAGCATCTTTGTGCAAAGTCGGAACTGCAACTACCATCACGGATTTCATCCCACTACTGTGTGCAAGATCCCAAGTGGGTGCAGTTTGAAAATTTTTAATAACCAGGAATTTGCTCAGTTGTTGGCACAGTCTGTGAACCATGGCTTCGAGACCGTCTACGAGCTCACGAAAATGTGTACTATACGCATGAGCTTTGTGAAGGTGAGCGAGCTCTGACTCCTCCGGTGGGGGTTTAACACACCTGTGCTGTGCTTTCTCCCAGTATATCCATCTGTCTCTTCTCCGTACATGTCCGTGGAGGCCAGCTTGTTAGCTAGGCATTTTTAAACTTAAACAAGGATGTCAGTTATTAGGAGACTATAGCAGGTCCTCGAATAATGTCATTTCATTCAACCTAATTTTGTTATGGTATTGACAAGACACCATAGAAACTTAACTCTTGTTTATATCAGTTACCCTATGAAGAATTGGTCATTTCACTTAAAGTCACAGAACATTAAGAGAGGACTTCCAGTATCATTGGATTATACGATGTGTGTGTTACATGTCAATAGTATCAGGCTTTAATGCCTTTTCCTTACTATTTTAGCTATGGTAATACCATTAGTAGGTTGTGTATTATACTTAATATACATAGTTTAAATGCTTGGTTGTCTTATAAGATCAATTCAGTCAACACACCCCCTTCCTTTACTTTTCATTCTATGTTTTTTATGATGGTAACACCTCTTGCTTTTGTTTTAACAGTAAGCAAGCAGTGTTTTTGTAAAAATAAAGGTTCATCACACTGGGATTTATTTTCAATTGGTCAGTTTTTTCAGTGGTTCCAGTAAACCCTATGAATTTTCTTTTAATTCAAAAGTTAATAAGGCCTTTTCCCAAAGATAAATAGATGCCTTGACTCTAAGACTGTATGGTAAGGTAGGAGGACGGAGAAGGTGAGGGACTTTGCTCACAATAATTGATCTCCTTGCTGCCTCCTCTTTTACCTCCGAGAAATAAAAAAAAAATTTAAGATGCCATTGAAATGTAAAACATTTAAGTATCTGATTCAGTTTCATGCGTCAGTAACTTATTCTAGTGACTGACTGCCTTGTGGCTGAATTCTCAAGGTAACTTTTTATCCTCTGTTACCTTGAGAAACAAAATTAATTATATATTTGGGCGAGGCAACCACCTTTCATGTCCTCTCTTCAGAAGCTCATCTGACTTGTTGTTAAACCTGTTCTGTAATGTGTTTATTACAGAGGGCAATTTGGGAAACTGACTGTGTTAATCATCTTGTGGATCACAGATATACTTCCCCAAGTATCTTTTTTTCCTACTTCTTTGAGTTATATTAGCAGATTTTCAGTGTGTTCTCTTGGTGTTGTTTTTCTCGAAACGTAATTCCACAGCACTTCATTGCCAAGTCTGGTACCCTTTTAGTATTAAAAGAGGGTTTGGTTTTTTTTACCTTTTGAAGAAGTTTACCTATATGTTTTGTACCTATGCGACTACAAAGACCTTCCTTGTCCACTGTTAACATTAATATTCAATTTTTTACTTTGATTTTGGCTAAAATGAATTTTAAAATGAGGACAGTGCTTTTCGTTTGCTGTTTTTGTTGATAAGGAGGAAAGAATCCCTCGAGAGGAGGTGGTCCAAGGTCTAGCTCAGTCTGCCATTTTAACGATGTGGTCCAGGCACAGGGATTTTTTTTTCTGATCTTCATGGTCCTCATCTTTAAAATGGGTGCATGGAGTCAGGCATTGTGGTAGCCATTGCTGAGGTCCCTGGGTGAGTCTGTTATTACTGAAGGACCACTCTACAAGAATTTCTGACTCTCTTGCTCAATTGGCTTTTTCCTCAAACTCATTTCATGTTGATTACCCAATCAATTTTAATTATTTTACTTTTACACATTTTTAATTGTTTACTTTTACACACGTCAAAGCAACCTTTACACTAATAAAAAGTGTTAAAACACAAGATATGCATTAAAAATATATTAGAATTTATTCATTTAGCAAATACTTTGAACACTTTTCCAGAGAATTAACACAGAGATGGAAAAGTACCTAAAATCTCTAGCTTCAAGATGCTTATGGCCTGGTGTATGTTTAATTATAACGTGGTAAGTGCTGGAATGGAGAGTTATATAAGATATAATGGAGATAACTGGGAATCTGGATTTGGAGAGTTAAGGATAAATAAATCTTGTTTTAAAACTCCTGCTGACATGATAAAGGGCAGCGGCTTATATATTAGCAACAAAAAATGTTCCCTACCTTGTTCTTTATCATAAAGACAACATACTTTGCCCTCTCACACTTAGCATCTTAGGGGAACAATATAGAACATTTTACTAATGTTATAGCCAGTCTCGTACTATTTTTAAGGTGATCAGTTTTGGACTTTAATACAAAACATATATTTTATAAATTATTTGCACAGTAAACTCCCCATATCTGAAAAATCCAAGTCAGCTCAGGTGAACAGGTATTTATTTCTCTAGAGCTTTTGCTTTGTGCCAATCACTCAATGGATATTTGAGATAGAAGATAAGTAAGATATGGTCCCACCTTCAAAGATAGAACCCAATCTATTCTGCTATTCCTCACGAAACCAGGGTTTATCAGAATGTCATATTCCGTTGGCCACCACACCAGTGAGTTACTCATCATTGCAATAGCAAAATTACTTTTCCCTTCTGCATAGTGGCTTTCTTCTTTGCAGCCTTAGTGTCCTGATTCAGCAATCCTGAAGATACCTGGCAAGCTCCCTTCCTGTACAAATGAAAATGGAATCCATAGATTCAAGGCAATGATTAGGTTTCAATAATAGCTTTTGGATACTTACGTGCTCCTGCCAGTTTTGCGTAGAGATTAAAAGCTCAAGAGCCCTGTGTCCATAGGAGGACCTCCAGTGGTTGAATAAGAAGGAACAGAATGTCAGTCTGTCTCACATACTACCTTTTTCCTTATTTTTTTTTGGCGATAAAGTGAGAATTTAATAATATCTATTACAATACTATTAGTAACATAATGGGCAATGAAAATGAAAGTTTAACACTATTCAAACAGCCTTATAATGTATTCTAAAACTTTTATTCCCCAAGACCAAGACTTATTAATCCAGAATCCATGGATGGGCTTTGGGGAGCTGGGAACACACCCATTCCCTGAAAGTGCCTGCCAAATTGTGTGTTTGGGCGCCCAAGCATTCGTCTTGTGGAAAGCATCCATATTTCTATGTCTGATTATGTGAGCTCTTCTTACTTAATAAGTTTAACCACTGAGTTAAGCAAGTTAAATGACCTCCTACATGTTGTTTCTAGGGTTGGGGAGCAGAATACCACCGCCAAGATGTTACTAGCACCCCCTGCTGGATTGAGATCCACCTGCATGGCCCCCTCCAGTGGCTGGATAAAGTTCTCACTCAGATGGGTTCACCTCACAATCCTATTTCATCTGTGTCTTAAACGGCCTCAGGCTTCTGCCTCTTGAAAACTGTTGAGCCTTGCATGTACTTGAAGGATGGATGAGTCAGACACGATTGACACCTGACAAAGGAGCCTCGATAATACTTGACCTCTGTGACCAATTGTTGGATTCAGAAATTTAAAAAAACACCAACAAAACACCTTGGTAACATACTGTTGATATCAAGAATCTGTTTAGTTTACATTGTAACATTCTGTTGTAAAAATCACCTAAAATGCATACTTTTAGCAGGACTTTGTGTATAGTTAAAGGAGAGATGGCCAAGCCAGGGACAAGTCAATTGGAAGACCGGTCCTAAGAGATTCTTTTGTGTTTGGCACTTTAAGGTCATCGTTCGGCAGAAGTTTAGCATTAATAGTCTTTCTGAAGTGTGTTTTTATCAGGTTTAGAGCCCATGTGGAGTCTTCTTTTCATGGGTTTTCATAATATTTTAAAACTATTTGTTTAGTAATGGTTTTTTTTAAGTAATGGTTAATCTTGATGATATACATAGTAATCTTTCTAAAATTGTATGCTGACCATACTGCTGTCAGAATAATGTTAGGCATATGCTCTTTGCTAAATATATATGTACAGAATATTTGGAAGCTAAGAATTGATTAGACTAGTGGCTTTAGGAGTATTGGAGCGGGTGGGGGCGAGGGAAATGACAACTACAGATGTAGAATATACTGTAAAAATTCAGTTTGTTGCTTTAAAGAAACAGACTGTTATCTGAATTTTGCTGTGTTTCCATTTTTTAGAGATTTTTATCCTACTTTTTTTTTTTTTTTTTTGCATCTTCTAGTTCATTCGCTCCAAAAAAACAGTTATGCAGCTGGTTAATTCACGTAATTGTGAGAGCAAATGAATAATTCCTGCTATTCTGAAATTGATGGCAAAAATGTTTCAATACCAATTGTATGGAATGCTTGAATTTAATAAACAGTTTTTATGGAGTTTACAGTTCAGAAATAGGCTTTAATTCTCAAGTGAATTATTTGCCAAACCTAGTAACTCTGCTAACTATTTGGAGGATTTAAAGAACATCCCTGCTTAAATCCATTTTAGACTTTTAAAACTTTTTTGTACTATGTTTGGTTTTATTTTTCTTCTGCTAATCTTTTATATTCACTATGCTCTCGTACATTGAGTACTTTTATTCCAAAACTAGTGGGTTTTCTCTACTGGAAATTTTAAATAAACCTGTCATTATTGCTTACTTTGATTAAAAATTTGTTGTTTCCTTTTTTCACACACTAGATTTTATGATCCATAAGATTCACTACTCTCTAGAGGGATTTTCTCAAAGATTCTTTGCCAAACGTAACAAACTAAATCACTACCATAGAGACAAGGATATTGAATCATGAAGAGAACAGAGTTGCTTTAAATCAGAAAAGAAAGGACATGTGGAACTTTAAAAATTAAGAAAGAGAAATTAGTAAAACCTGGAATTCCTAATCTAAATGTATAAAGTTTTTTATGTGATGAATTATAGCAGCAGCAATGATTGGTGGATGCCCTTCAGTCAACCAAAAGTATCCCCAATTTCTAAACTTCAGGTGAGATGCAAAGGTGGCTGTGAAAGGACATAACATTGGGGAGGAATGAGAGCCAAAACTGCAACAAATCAAAATGATCACAGTGGGTCCTTAACGTCGTTTTGTTCAGTGTCACTTTGTTATAATGTTGATGCAATGCTGTAGGATCTTTTGTTTATGTCAATTAATCTCTGGTAAAATGGTGTTCATTATGTGCCATTTTGCTTGACGTCACAGGACTTATTGACATTAAGTGAGGACTTGTACTTTTGCAGTCTTCTTGGCCTGGGATCCTATCTCTCCCATCCTCCACCTCACCTCCCTAAACAGAGTTTGCCTACAAAGGATGCAGATTTGAAGACTTCAATTCTTCTTTGGCCAAATAGATGCAACTTGTTCTCTTGACATTTTTATGTCTCTTTCCCAGAATTATTACCAGCCCCCCTTATTCCCTAAACTATGACTCAGCAGAAATGTCCACTGCATCTTACTGTCTCCGAAAACATCATGGTGCAAATGGAGAAAACCCTGAATAGAAGACCTACATTATAACACAAATTCATGCGTGTCCCTGCTGGGTCACTCCGAGTCTGTGAACCTCCATTTTCCTTATCTGTAAAATGGAGATGATGTTGTGTTCTTACCACAAAGTTGAGGAGAGGATCTACTGGAAGAAAAATATGTGTGAAAATACCTTGGAAATACAGCTGCATGTAAGTATAGGGTCACTGTTTTCTTGAACCCTCCCCTGTACTGTTTTTCCACTTACCTGCTATGTCATTCCTAGTACAGGTGATCTGGTTCAATGGTGGTGATTAGTGAGATATAATAAAAGAAGGATCAATAAATTAAGACTATTGGACTTTAACAGTAAGGTGTAACTGGAAATTGTCTAAAAATAAAGAGCTCAGGTCAGGATTTCTCACCCTTTTCCTAGTGAACAGCTATTGCACTGACCTTGATGAGATAGTTATGCCATTTAATTGTGTGTGGCAATGCTGGTAGCTTGTAGATCTACCAGATAAACCTCAAGATCATCCCGTAGATTGAAACATACTAGATTGGGCCTTAGGAGCTTGCAGCATGGTGCATAAATCAGCCCTTTTATGCTCAAAGGCAATTACTTGTATATTTGGTAAGATCTTAGTGAAGACCATTGTCATCAGCCATAGGAAGCCATTAAATCTGGAAGTTTTCAATTAAAGGAATGAAAAAGTCAGAGCAACTATTTGAAAAAAAAAAAAAGCAGCTAGTTAACAAAACCAAGCAATGTGAACTGTTTCGTAGCAGATATATTATCAGCAACTAAGAAATGACAGGGTGATAAGAAGTGGAGCGTTCTGGAGCCACCCTGGCCTCACTTTGTCAGCTGGTAGTAGTTGACCTCGAACAAGTTTCGTGACTTTTCTGCACCTGTTTCCTGATCTGTGAGAATAGAGGCAATAAAGCCTATCTTATGACATAACTCCATATAGATCATTTCTATAGATAATTTTCTTTTAATCAAAACAATACTTGCTTACTAAAGATTTTTAAAGTCCAGGAAAAACCAAAAGGAGAAATTAAACGTCACCTGTACTAATCCTCTATGATTAGTTTATCCTTGAACTAGGTGATTATGACAACTTAGTGTAGATATTGGTGTGCTGTAGGAAATTCGGGTCCAAAGGTTAGTTTTAGTAGTTCCGTTTGTTAAGCAGTTGTTGGCACCAATCCCATGCCAGCCACTGTGCAAGGTGATAGAAGTGAGAAATCCTCAGACCTGCCCTCAAGGAGCCTGCGCTCTAATGAGACTAGACCAGCAGTTCTCAACCTGTGGGTCGCGATTCCTTTGGGGGTCGAACGACCCTTTCACAGGGGTCGCCTAAGACCATCCTGCATATCAGATATTTACATTACGATTCATGACAGTAGCAACATTACAGTTATGAAGTAGCAACGAAAATAATTTTATGGTTGGGTCATAACATGAGGAACTGTATTTAAAGGGCCAGAAGGTTGAGAACCACTGGTCTAGCGGCATGGACATGGAAGTCATTTAGGATGATGCAGAAGACACTGAAAGGTTACAGTGGAATTAGGGCAATGGAGAAGAAGATGCACAGTGGGGAAGAAGCAAACCATCAAGAATCCAGAACTGAGCATAGCTCTGAAAAGGAAGGACACCTGGAAAAGAAAGCCAGAGAGAAGCAGGAACATCTATCGATCCGCCCGGGAATCAGGAAAGGAGCGATGCGAAAGGTGAAGAGCTTCCTTCTCCCAGCGCTTGGCAGAGGCTGGTATTGTACCAGAGCTCCATACTTTTCACAGATTTAATCTTATGCCATCTGTGTCTTTTATTTATTTTTCTAAAATATATTTCCATTGATTTTTTACAGAGAGGAAGGGAGAGGGATAGAGAGAAGCATCGATGAGAGAGAAACATCGATCAGCTGCCTCCTGCACACTCCCTACTGGGGATGTGCCAGCAACCAAGGTACATGCCCTTGACCGGAATCAAACCTGGGACCCTTCAGTCCGCAGGCCGAAGCTCTATCCACTGAGCCAAACCGGTTAGGGCCCATCTGTGTCTTTTAAAGATTCTCTATGGCCAGGGTTTTGGAAGGATTTCTGAAGACTTTCCAGCTCAGTCCGTAGCCTTTGTGACACAGTAAAATAGAGGAGGAGGCCAGGAAAGAGGACACGGGCGTGGGGAGAAGAGGAGGAGGCTGGTGGAGCGCCGGACGGAAAGCCAAGGCCCCGGAGAGTTTTCTTTCTCGTATTTCAGGTTACGGACCAGGTGCTTTCCCCGATCCTACCGTCAGTAATCATGTCCATACTGACAATTACAAAACAGTCACAGGAATATAAAGTACAGCATAGGGAATACACTCAGAAATATTCTGACTATGTATGGTGCCAGGTGGGTAGTAGACTTAAAGGGGCACCAGTTTGTGAATTATATAAATGTCTAATTACTTTGCTGTACACCTGAAACTAATATACTATTGAATGTCAACTCTAATTGAAAAATAAAATTTGAAAAAAAGAGTCTAAACTAAGGTCATACTCAGCAAGCAGAATAAATGGAAGGCAGTGAGGCGGTCCCAGGGAGACGAGCAGGGCAAGAATATGGCCATCCCCGTTGCTGTGGGATGTGGGGCAGGCTCCCCCTCTTCCAGAGCACACGGAACCCCCGGAGCTGGAGAAGAGCACGTCTCTGCCAGCTCTAGGGACTTTTGGGGTATTTTCTGGCCTGATACAATACCAGCTGAGTCGTTGAGAACAGTCGGCATTTCTTAACAGACTATGTTTCATTTGTTGCCTGCATTGGGTCTACAGCATTTTCTTACACTAGCAGGACTTACTAATAAGAAGTCATTTGCCAAGTGCTTTGCAAATTATTGTACTAGACTTAACATTTTATTCCTATGAGGTTTCCCCCAACATAGAAGAGGGACTGTTGGCCACAATGTGAATTGGTTTCTTTGTTACAAATACGTTTCTTGTTCGGGGAGAATTGGGGATTGTACAAATTATAGGCAGTTTACTGAAAAGTCTATTTTTTATTGGGCCTGGTGACTGTGTGGCAGGTACAGTTTTATAACCGTCACGTGGTTCTTAAGGCAGTTGCCCCTCAGAGGGTGCTGCTGGGAAACCTCGGGCCTGCCGTTTCCAAGCACTGGAACCGAGAACGTTGGATGGATCTGAAAGCTCAGTGCCAGCGACGGGGAGGCCCCAATCCGTTTGGGTCTGAATGTAGCACGAGAAGTAAAAGCCAGGGCCCTGTTATAGCCAAAGGCTTGGGAGCGACTTCTCTAAGAAATCCTTTGTAAAAATCGGACAATCTGTAAATTCCTCCTCTTGATCCAAAAAGAAATAGAGTAACACAGCTCCCATCATCCCTAAACTTAGAATAAGTTTTAAAAGGGAAAAATATAGAAAAGAAAAAATTGAGCCGCTGTGACCCTTTACATCTAGACGCAGCGGTGAGAACATGAGAGAAAATTTTCTTCTTTCGTTTGGCTGTGGGTCAGGTGGAGACCAGGATAGAGACACCTCCACTGCATTTTCATGCCATGCAGATGTGATCGTTAAGAGTCTGGGTGCATGTTCTCCAGACTTGTTTTTTATGCTGCCTCCTCACTTTTTAGGTGTGTCATCTGAGGCAAGTGAGTTAATGTGTGAGCTTTAGTCTCATTATCTGTAAAGTGAGAAAATACGATCAGGCTCTCCCAGGTGTGTGATGGTGCATACGAAATCCTTGGCACAGAGCCAGGCACACAGTAAGCACTTAATAGTGGCTTGGTGGCAATGATGATGACTGAGAGGGCTTAAAAAATACAGGTCTAGTGACCTCTAATGAGTGGAGGTGGAGGATCCTCAGTAACGTTGGATAGTTATGCTAGATGACTCAAAACCCAGTACAATGATAGTCAATACAGTAAAGAAAAATGCAGTGAGTCTGGCAAAAACAAAAGCACACACACAAACAAAAAACAAACAAGCAATGCTCAGGGTGCAGCGTAGCAAATGGTAATAAGACATAAGCCTCGTCCATTTTCCCAGACGCTTCCAACAAGAGTCCCATCTGCAGCTCCTTGACTGAAGAATCTTGGTCGGATTGTGTTACAAGTTTTATCCTACTTACTAAGTACTTGTGCTTTTAGGGGGGGCTTATAAATATAGATTTTTTTCACTTACTCCCTAAG